CCCCCCCCCCCCCCCCCGAACACGCTCTCGCGGCGCTCGCGCTCTCCAGTCTCAGGCATCCGCAGCTCGTAGTCTTCCGGTGTCACCTGAACACGACGTCCGACCTACGAGCTTCCGTGACTGCGAAGGGCAGTGCCTCGCGGTATTGAAGCTTCATAATCTCTCGGCGGATCTGACTGGCCTCAGGAGGTCTCAGATTCGTGTGCTCCTGGCTCTAGGCTTCCGACGACAGGCCGGTCAGGAAAAGCTACCAGTGGTCCCAACCAGCCAACAGCTTCTCAGACTGCAGCTGGCATGTGCAGAGGACAAGTCGTCCCCTCCGAGAGAGGGCCTGCACCCAGAAGAGTGCAGAATGCACAAACTGTACCCGACTGCGTTTCTCGCACTGGGCCTGGTCCATGATTCGTTTGCTGCCTGGCAGCATAGGAAATACGTCAAGACTTTAAACTGGAGATGAGTTTTGTCAAGGCGCTGCCCTTGAGCTGCCACGGAGAAGCCTGTGCCAACAGCCGGATACTTGCACCATCAAGATCAAGCAAGCATCGTCCGGCCACCGGTCCTTGAGATTTGCTGCGCTTCTTGCGTCCGCACCAAGCCTTACGAGTCGGGCTCTGTGATGCCAGTGGGGCCGGTGGCACAAACTGCATCCTTCCCCAAACACGCGGCGAGGCGAAAATCTTGGCGCCACACTGAATCAGAGTGGTGCTCCTGCGTGCTTCTTGAACGCAGTTCGCGGTAGCCCATCGTAGACAAAATGGCCCGTCAGTCCTCCGCATCCAAACTCCTGTTTGAAATGGCTGCAGATGCCTGCGGCGATGGTGATGCAATGCCATGCAAAGCCTAGCACACGCTCGGGCTTCTCTCTCTCTCTGTCTCTCTCTCTCTCTCTCTCTCGTCCGGGCGTCAAGCGGTTGGACTATTGATGTCCGGCTTACTATCACAGCCTTGGTCTCATGCGCTAAGATCTTTTCAAGGCTTGCAAGACTTGCCAGCACATGTAAGCGCCAGGCAGCCCATCCTCCAGACTCCTGCAAACTCCGACTCGGGTCCGATGTGGAAAGGAGAACGGGGGTGTCCCAGGTTTGCTTGCTCTCTTGCGCTCCTCGCGGCGAATCGCTTCGTGGCAACGATAACTAAATAACGGGTTCACTGAGTAGCTGCACAAAAGGCACTAGGTGTGGATGTGAAAACTCCAGGTGCTCTTGAGAGATGTACCAAGCCTACAAGTGGTCACTTCCATTTTGCAGCAGTCAGTGAAACCTCGGGCCAGCAGCAAGATGCACGGCAGCTGCTTTCTGTCACCGCTACGCAACCTAGCAGACCTAGCAGAAGAAAAGCAAAAGCATGCGTGACGATGAAGGGACCTTTTTGATCATGCTGCTGAGTCTTTTGGGGCATTCCGCATCCGTGAAATAAACCTACCATTTGGCAGTTTGGGGGATAGCTCCGGAAACCTACTGCTACGACTTTGGCTTTGGGCTACGACTTCTGCTTCGGCCGTCTCCACCACTGGGCGCAGCACTCGGGCTCATGTTGGGACTCATGCCGCCCATGCAAGGAGCCATGTTGCCACAGCCCATACAGCCCGGCCCTTGTCCACACATTGCATTTCCCATAGCGCCACAACCGCAGCAACCAGGACAGCAGCCACAGCCACATCCTGGGCACCCCCCACAGCAACAGCCGGCGGGGCAGCCGCAGCCACAACAGCCGCAACCGCCACAACCGCCGCAACCGCACCCTCCACATCCGCACCCTGGGCAACCACACCCACACCCACACCCAGCACAACAACCGGGACAGGCTGGGCAGGTCGGGCAGGCTGTGGGGCAGCCACAACCACCAGTACATGCCCCCGCACACCCTGCAGGGCAGGCGCCAGGACAGGCAGGACATGCACCGGAACAGCCTCCAGAGCACCCACCAGCGCACGCGCCAGGGCAGGCAGCGGCAGGACAAGCGCCGGGACACGCGCCAGGGCAGGCACCAGCACAGGCACCGGGACACGCGCCTGGGCAGGCGCCAGGACAGGCGCCAGGACAGGCGCCAGGGCAGGCACCAGGGCAGGGTGCAGGGCATGCTCCGGGACATGCACTGGGGCACGCAGCAGGGCATGCAGCAGCGCCACCAGGGCAACCGCCACATCCAGCCTTGCAGCCGCAGCCTCCACAGCCCATGCCTCCCATCATGGCCGCATTCTGCATCATGCTGGCCGCCATCATGCCTGTTAGCGAGGGCGAGCACTCTGGAATGTTGCTAGCATGTGGACGAATCTTGCAAACTGATCTCCTGCCTTGCATCATGTTCTGCATCATCATCATTCCAGGCATCATGCCCATCATAGGCATTCCGTCGCCGTCATCATCGTTGGTGGTGGTCTCAGGGAAGGCACACAACACTTAAGGCATCTGCTCGCACTGGCTGGAACAGCAAGGAGTCCTGCAGCTTCACAGCAAACCCTCAACAAATGGTCCGGCGCTCCGCGGCCCCCCCCCGTGGTCCATGGTCCAGGATGCCCCCCTCGTTGAGATGTAATCTGGGTGTGTATCCCTTCGCAGAGCGTACAAGAACACTGGCAAACACAGGTGTTTCCTTTCCTACAGGCGCAAGCTGTAGATCAGTGTTCTGCTAGAACCTCGAGCAACAAGCATGGATACATGCAAGTGATACTTGAAATTGACAGGCACCGGGATGTGTAACATTCAGCGTTTCAACCAGGCACAAATTTAGAAAACCTAGAGCTGCATGGCCGTGAAGTCGGCATTCTACATTGTCTGTTATTGCCCTAGATGAATTACGCGCGGAGTGACATTGAGCTACAATCAGCTACAAATGTGGAATCTATACCAGGCTGCACACACTCTTCCGGAAGACGGCTTCCTGAAACCAAGCAGAACACGCACAAAAGCAAACGGATCTTCGATTCAAACTCGGATTAAAAGTTGCCCACTTTATCAGTTCCCTTTCGAGATGGAAAGCGTACTGGATAAATGATTGTGGAGCTTAGCTCCATTTGTTGCCAGAGATGGCATGATTGCGGTTCTGAGAGATCGCATAGAAATAGACAGAGTATCTTTTCCAGTGAAAAGTATCTCTTTTGTCTTTCGGACAAATGGCAGAAGAATTACCATTTCCAGTGAAAGTACTCATTCCACTTTTTCCATTGGGTTGTACATGCCCCTTCTTTAACGTCGGGTTCGCTCATCCCAAGCCATACGCAGATGATGATAATAATACCAGCGTTGAGGTTCCTCGGTCTGAGCGGTGTAACGAACAGAAGGGTCCACGTCAAAAGGAGGTACAGGATTCAAAGGATCAGTCGAGGTAGATGATCTCCGCATCCGAGTTCCAGCCGGAACCGAATCAGTACTTCCCTTTGCCCTTGCCTTTGTCTTTGCCCCTGAGGACTTGCTTCCCTTGCCACCTTTCTTCCCACCAGGAGGTTTGCGCGGGTTCAGCTGGGCGTTGCGAACCAGAGGCGGTTGCACCAGAAGCTCCCTCTCCCTGTGGCAAGCCTGCTCCCGTAGGTGCTGGCGCAGGATCAGTAGATCCACGAGCATTGTTCACCTTCTGTTTGTCTGCTGCCTCCTTGGTCCTTGACCGTCTCGGGATTCCTGTTCGTCGCTCTCATCCTCCCACCACTGAACTGGTTCGCGTGCTCAATGAGGAGGGGTATGCACGTCGTTGTCCCGGTCTGTAAGTAGGTATGCTTGTCTGGTGGAATTCAGAAGCCATTCTGACACGCTGACTTTGAACTTCTTCTGGTTGGCAGTCATCTGCTCATCGTCCATAGAATGGCCACATTCGAAAACAGTAGCCACCAGGATCGAGGCCTGGAAGCGGGTTCCAGTCGGGCTGACTGCAATCCTTCGGTCCAGCTGGTCCTCGTACTGCTTGAGAAGGCACAAGCTGTTCGCCGACGTGTGTTGAAGACGAGGAAAACACATCGGGAAGCACTTTGGGCTCTCCGTCCAGGCGTCCAGGAAATAGTCGAGAGTGCTCTGACGCTGGCCACCCCTAACATCCATGGACTCCTGCTTGCTTCCGGATGCACGGTAAGCAGCCATGTTTGCATCACCACCGATCAAATCGACCTGATAATACAAGCAATCTGCAACCATTGTGCCCAAAGCTTCGCGGGAGAGAGACCAACCTTCTTGGACGCGATCTTACTGTCCAAGTGGAAGGCACAAACACGGATAGCGTTGCTTCCAGCTCTAGTCAAGTCAAAGTCGCTGTGTACGAAGAGTCTGGAAATTCTCCTCTGTTGCCTTGTCCACCTAGGGGCAGAGTTGTCCCGTAGATAATTTCCACGGTCATGTAACTACACAGGAGATGATAGTGGGCTACCCCGACAAGTGTCGAGCCTGCCACTTGTGTCATCTTGGACCCAACGATGTTGGTGCGGTAACCGACGAGAAGATCTCCACCCACGAATGCCTGTGCTTTGGCCTGAGCAATTGACTTGACCATCGAACCATAGCTCTGCCCGGAACTGTCATAGTCGATCAAATCGTCATACGCTGAGGGAGCAGAACGCTTCCGGCCGCGAGCGAAGTTACCCAAGTTCGCGATGAGAGCCTTGTACTTGGTCTTTCTGGTGAAGATAGGCACGGGACAATCCTCAGACAAGCCAAAACGTAAGTGAATAGAATTCGGTATCTTATCCAGCGATAAGTCTCCGATCTCATCCTCATCCACACCGGCTGCCGGGAAGTAATGAAGCATGGAGTTCATAAGTTCTTCCCTTGTGGCAGGCCGATCTGCATCACTCAGCTCCTTGACCTTGCTAAGAAGCTCAGACTCAACTTCCAAGGTCGCGGCACGAACATTGAACGTCTTCTCCATCTGGCGATCATCGAGAGTGCTTCTGAGATCTTCGTGGCGAAAGATCACATCCATGCGAGCAGGACGCTTCATGTAAATCGGATCGAGCTTCATCATGGATCTGAGCAAATCGTCTCCGTTGAGGCTGTTCAGGGTGAGGCTGCACCCGAGTCTCCACTGCATGTGCTGCACTTTGAAAGTGCCCACGTCGTCAGCGCTGACATCGTCGCGGTAAAGACCGTTCCGGTGATAGCCAGACTCTGCAACATCATAGGACTAGTCCTGTCGGCTTTGTGGTGGCTTTCCCAGAACTCCTTGAACTCGACTGTGTCCTCGAGGCCTTCTATCTGTATCTGCTTGCAAACTTCCAGATTGTCGAAGGCTTTCTCGTTCTTTGCCTCCGCACTGGACGCCGACTTGAATGCCTCTTTGAACGCCTCTGGATCGACGACGCTCCTTCACCAAGAACTTCATCATCTTGATCGTCTTTTTCATGGGAAACGTCTGGCATGGATTCCTCACCATGCGGTGAGCTTCCTGAGCCGTATCGTCGTCCTTGGACTCCCCGGCATCAGCCATGTGCACATGTTTGGTGGAGTCCGACACCTCTCCATGTGGAGAGCCTTCCGCTTTCTCGGACTTTACTCTGGATGCCGAGCTTTCCGAGCCTGGCGGCGTCAGTCGGGCTCAGCCATCTTGCCCTGCGGTAAGTCCGCTGGTTCGCCCTTGACGCTGCTCGAGGGTTCAGCTGGAGCATCAGTGGTGTCCGTTGGCGCCGGCTCAGAGATTCTCAGGAACTCCTCCACCACGAAGTCCTCGTAGGGGCGAGTGTAGAGTGTAGAGCTCCTCAAACTTCTGGACACTCTCGCGAACTAGCCTTTGAAGCACTTCGGCATCAAGACCAAGCGTCTGTCCCGGTGGAGAGCTTCCCTGACTCCGACGGTCGGAGCAGCAGACGCTGAGGCCAAACGGGAGAACTCATAACAAGCCTGAAATTGAGACGACGACTGCAACCGATTAGTTTATGCTACCAAGCAAGGAACGATAAGAAGTATGAAGAGCTTTGTCACAAGCATGAGCATCCTTCAGATGCTTCGGAACGACAATCTCTTCAAGCTCAGACACAGACAGCTTTTGATCGATCGAGATATACTTCTTGTTCCCTTGTGCATCCATGACCCAACGAA